TAATACAATTTTTAATTTTTAATTTTTTCTTCTCACACTTAAAAAGAATTTTCCTTTAATATTTTTTAATAAAAATTTGACTAGTAAATTAAGTTAGTCATTTGACGAAACATGCCCTTACTCCATAATGCGGGTCGCGTTATTTCCACAGGTCAATTGTTAACTCCACGTCCCTTATTTAATCATTTGACTATTATGCCCTTCATTTTGAATTTTGAGACATTGGAAACCCTTCATTTTGAATTCAACTAACAGCAATCACCACCTTTTCTCGCATCCCATCCTCCCCGGACGGCAAGGCCCTTCTGCATCTTTCCCTCTCACAAAATGGTCATAAAAACTAATGAATTATTGGTCTGAATGAAAAAAACTCGTTTCTCTTTAAATAAAGTTTCGAATTTAAATTATATAAATAAAAAAATAAATACTAAAAATTTTTTTTAAATAAGATCCAACATGATTCAATTTTAAATTAATAGATTCAATATAGTTATGGAAAATCAAATATTAATTAAAAAAAAAGTCATAAAAAAAATTATCTACTTTTTCCAGTTGATTTTGCTGAATCTTCTGCCTTATCTCTTTGTTTTCCATTTTCCACATTCACGTTCCTTTCACCTCCGTCCTTTTTCCTCGTGTCATCATCCCAACACTTTTTTTCCTCTTCTCAGTTTTCATTTTAAAATCCCAAAATTCCTATAGACTAAAACTGAAAATTTTCCATCGGGTAATTGATTTTTTGTTTGCTAATTCCTCTGATAAAATTCAACGAAGAAATAAAGTAAAGAAAGATAGAAAATGTAGCGCTTTCTCAAAATTCACCAAATCGCAATCTATTGACATTTGAATTCCTTTTTAGATTTATGGGCTTGTTTGGTCACTGTGATTTTATGTGTTTGGAATCGAAATTTTGGTAGTTTTGTTGTGAATTGGAAGGTTAAACGGGAAGTGCCTCCATGAATGGAACATGGTTTCCGGAGAGGGGATTAAGGCAAAAGTTTGTTGGCGATAATGATGAAGAACAAAAGCAAAATAATAGGAAGAGATTTTTATTTTTTTTACCCACCTTAAAAGTTACGGTGGATTCCACTGAATTGCTTATGACCCATAAAAATCAAGTTATTTTCTTCCGAATTAATAAAGGTTAAAACCCTTTTTTGGTCCCTGAACTATTGTACGGATCCCCGATTTGGTCCCTGAACTAAAAAAATCCCTGATTTGGTCCCTACTATTTACCATTTTTACCTTGATTTGGTCCTTTCGTTAAAAATCTAGTGACGTGTGTTGTTAACTAACGGGAATACGATGACATGTCATCTAATAATCCACGTGGAAGATAATATAGTCAAAAAGTGATGATGTGGAAAAAATAATAATATAAAAAAAATATTATGAAAAATAAATTTAAAATTTTTTTTTCTTTTTTCTTTTTCTTTCTCCTTCTCTTTCCCCTCGGAACCCAGCAGGCCTGGGTTCCTTCGAACCCACCCAGGTGCTGGGTTCGCAAGGAACCCAGCACGCTTGCCCGGGTTGGGTTCCAAGGAACCCAGGGGTTACGCCTGGGTTCCAACCCACGCCGGAACCCAAGCGCTGGGTTCCCAGGTGAACCCACACCAGGGTTCCTTGGAACCCAGGCGCTGGGTTCCCAGGCGAACCCATGCCTGGGTTCCATGGAACCCAGGCGCTGGGTTCAAAGGAACCCAAGCGCTAGGTTCCCTTGAACCCACGCCTGGGTTCTTCGAACCCAGGGGTAAAAAATATATATTTTTTTTCTGTGGTTTTGGTGTTTGATGATGATGATGATGAAGAAAGCAAGGCAAGGAAGAGGAAGGAAAAAAAAAATGGCATTGTTGGGTTCGACTCAACCCAGGTGCTGGTTTTGTTTGGTGCTGGGTTTGTTTGTTGGAGGAAGAAGATGATGGCAAATTCGTAATTTTAGTGGGTCCCACTTTTGTTTGGTTGGGCAAGGAGATGATATGTCACGTTGCCATGTCATTATTTATTCATTTATACAACTGACGTGTCTCAAAAGTTTGACATGTCATTAAATTGTCTGAGATAACGGTGAGATTTTAACGGAAGGACTAAATCAGGGTAAAAATGGTAAACAGTAGGGACCAAATCAGGAATTTTTTTAGTTCAAGGACCAAATCGGGGGTTCGTACAATAGTTCAGGGACCAAAAAAGGGTTTTAACCATTAATAAATGATTGGTAAGAAAAATAAAATTTATTTATATATCAATTTTATATATTATAATTTATATTATGAACTTAAATTTTTAAAAAAGTTAAAATTAATATACAATTTTTTTATTTTAAAACATAAAAAAAATAATAATATAAAACTTGACATCCGTATTCTCTTCATTATAGGCAGAGATAAAATCCCTTGCTGTTAGAAGAGACATATCCCACGTTGGATACAGTTTGATCCAAACGTGTGATTGAGTCCATTGCACCTAATCCCAATGGACCCCACCAACAACCCTTCTGCACCGTCAATCACACATTTACACAATAACCTGCCCCGTCGTACGATGGTCCTTTTCACATCGGATCCTTTCTTTCTTCACTTTTCTTCTTTTTTTTTTTTTTTCAATTTTTTAGAAAATTGAAAAGTACAAATAATTTGGATTTTATTCGTCCTTTGAAACACTAAAACCGATCCGACGGCTGCTATCAAATGAAAGGGACACGTGGTGAGATCGAATTGATACAAGTACATAAATGTCCCATTTCTAGATGCTACCGCGTGGCTTCCCAAAACGACAGCACTTAACGTCTCTTTTTGTCCTCGGTGGGGAAAATGAAATGCCCGCGATCCCGCCAATATGTTCGTTCACGGTAAGATTTGCTTGAACCGAAATTTTCGAAACAGAGACGCTCTTTCTGCACTCAAGTACACTGCCGCTCCCCACATCCACATGCATTCATTCTGGACACCTGGACCCCACTGCATCACTTTTGTACCTTTTCGGGTGTTTGGTTTAGGGAATTTCTAAACTTTTCTCTTTTTATTTAAATATTTTTCCTTTTTTTTTACATTAATATTAGATGATAGTGTAAATTAAAATGTTTTTTT